GACTTTTTCATCTTCAAATGTGATCTTACTTTTGTAGGGGGTGAGAACATTAATCAAACATTTCCTAGGGGAGAGGGGCACAGAAAAGGTTGGGAACCACTATACTAAGGAATAATAACAACAACAAGAATTGTATTAAACTTGTATGCCACCCAACTCTCAACAACTCTGGGTGGCTCACAACAATCAATATTTATGAATTAATTGGATTCTAACCCATAAAAACTTGTCAGAATAAAATAGTTATTCTTTTGTTATTCCTTTTTGAAATCTTTTACATACAACCAACCATTATTTTGTGCAGTGTTTCCTTAACTATTCAAGACTATGGTGTAAATGGTACACTACAGAACTAATCTTTTTAATTAGGAACTTCTATGCAAAAGCAGGCTTCTTTGAACTGAACTCAACTCCTGTTGACTTCATGGACATATCCATGACGTTTTCTTGACACATTATTAATATAATTTGTCACTGCCATATGTTTTTTTTCAATTCCCCAGCACAAACTAAAGCTGCAAGATTTCCTAGTGGTTTTCCATCCATAAACTAACCAGTCTGGCCCTGCTTATCTTTTTTAGATCAGCCAAGTTTGGTGAGGTGCTGTCACCTCCTGTAGACTTCTTTAAAAATGTTTTTTGAAAAACGAAAAAAAGGATAGTAGGTGGTTAAAATAAAGCTTTTTCTGGCAGACTAGCCAAACCAATGTGACTACTAAAAGTACAGCTAGCTGCTAAGTCTTTTTTCTCCTCCCATTTGCAGCTGGAGCTACAGTTGAGAGGCAGTCCTCTTGCTGTTCTCAGTTCTCAGCTGCCCATAGCACTTCTCCTTCTCATAGCAGATACTTATCTGGTTGAATCACACATAGAGGATGGTGTCTCATCATAGGTACTTCCCTGGCTGAACCATGCTTTAGGAAGCCAGCTGTTCTTTTCCAAGGGCGCTGCTTCAGGCTGTCTGCGCATGCCAGAAGCCATAGCAGCAGTGAGAAGGAGACTGAGTTCTCTCTTAATGACAGTTAGGTGGAAAAGAATGTTCACTTCTAACAGCTCCTCAGCCTTGGCTGAGCAAGCCAACTGTCCTCACGCTTGTGGTCCAAACATGCTGACACCAGACCAATCATCCATAGCAAGCTAGCTGTGCAGGTTAAACCTGGGCTCTGAAAAACAAGCTCATGCATGATATGCAGCTTTGCTGACAGCAGGAGCTGCAATTGTGTGGCGAAGATAGGCAATTATCTGTAAAACTGCAGCAGGGGAAGATAGGAAGGAAAAACCCCAGACATGTATGCCTTGACAGGGAAAGATGGACAGCTACCAAGTCATGCCAAGGAAGCAGACATCACTTCAGGCTGTGTGCTTGGGATAAGGTGCACTCACACTGTACAGCTGCACGTTGTTTGTGAAACACTATTTCCCACAGAACAAAGTCTAAGAAACACTGATTTACAGCAGCATATGACATCTTGACGCCCTGTCCAATATAAATATTTCTGACAAAAATTAGTATTTAATAAAATGAGCCTCCAAATATTATTACAATAAATAATACAGGTAGTTTTTGAGTTATGACCATTCATTCAGTGACCCTTCGACATTACAATGGTGCTGAAAAAATGGACTTACAACTGATCCCCGGAGTTATGGTCATTGTAGCACTCCCGCGGTCATGTGATCGTGATCTGGGTGCGTGGATCTGGGCATTTGCACTTACAACCGGTCACCAAACATCTCACAATCACCATTTGCAACCTTCCCTACCTGCTTCCCATAAGCAAAGTCAATGGGGAAGCTCGGGTATGTCTCCCCCACCCGCCCCTGCCTTTCTTTGCCTGCACGCACCACACCCTCCTTCCCCCCTTAACTTGCTCGCAGGGATGCACTGTGACCTCCTTCCCTCCTTTGCTTGCTCGCACGCACCAGTGCCCTCCTTCCCCTTTGCTCGCTCGCTCACATGCATGCACCCCACCCTCCTTTACTCATTCGCATGCAACAGTGCCTTCCTTCCCCCTTCACTTGCACACATGCAACATGCCCCCTTCGTGCTGCACTGAGGCTTTGCAGGAGGAAGGAGAAAGCCTCACAAATGGCCAGCAGCTTCCAACATGAGCTGCAGAGTGTGCACCGGAAGCGCCCCTGGAGAGTCCTTCAGCACCTGGAAGTACCCCTGGAGAGTCTTCGAGTGAGAGAAGGAGGGAAGGAAGGTGCAGTGCGTGCAAGCAAAGAAAGGGGGAAGGGGGGTGCAGTGTGTGTGTGTGCGAGCGAACAAGCAAAGGGGGAAGGAGGGTGCTGGTATGTGTGAACTAGCAAAGGATGATGCAGCGTGTATGTGCGAGTGAGAGAAAAGGGAAGGAGGGTGCTGGTGTGTGCGAAGGGGGAAGGAGGATGCTGGTGCATGCAAACAAAGGAGGGCACGGTGCGTGTGTACAAGCAAGCAGAGGGGGAAGGGGGTGCAATGTGTGCATGTGATGGAAGGATGGTGCAGTGCAGGTGAGCAAAGGAGGGTGTGGTGTGCACATGAGCGAAGGGGGAAGGAGAGCACTGGTGCGTGTGAGTGAATGAAAGGGGAAGGAGGGCCAAGAAGCCCCTAAATGCAGCATGGTAAGCAGCCCCAGAGCCACACAGTTCTGGGGCTGCTTACCACCCTGCAAAGCAGGATGCAGGGCAGCCAAAAGGGCAGAGATGGGGGGGGGATAGGCGGGTGGGAAAGTTGGAGGCAGTCCCTTACCTTACTGAGACTCAATGGCTAGGATTGGGGTAGGTCCTCAGCTAATGGCTGGTGGAATTAATGTAATGACGGCAATGGGGAGTGCTGGGATTGCTGTTGCTAAGCTATGTGGTTGTGTGATGTATCACTTTATGACCACAGAGCTTAGTAACAGAAATTCCAGTCCCAATTGTGGTCATAAGTCAAGGACTACCTGTTCAGTCTGCCAATTTATCAGCTACATATTAATGTATTAATTAGTTTATAGAACTAGGGATATGCATGAAACAGAAAATTTGTTTTGAACCTGAAACAAGCCATCCCATTCCCAAATATGTTTTACATGTATCTATAGTTTATTTTGCCAAGTGTCCCAAACATGCTCTTGTCTGGTAATTTTAAGAACATTAAGATAAAGCAGCTTTTATATTAAATGGGTAGCCAAGCAGCGTAATGTCCTTGTGCTTTCCTCATTTCTTCAGTTTTCTGCTCCAATTAACTAATTGCACTGCATCTAACAGTTTTACATGTCATTCTGAGAAACCACAGCCTTCTGCTCTTTTTCTTCAGTTACCTTCCTAGAGCATCTTTTCCTATAACATTTCTCTTTTCAAACAGTGCTGTTTTGATATTTCAGACTCAATTATTAATTGTTAATTATTAATTAACAGTCTGATATTTCAGACTCAATTATTAATTGTTAATTATTAATTAACAGATGCAGGAAAGGAAGTTACACTGGGTTAACTCTGTCAGGCCTAACCCCAATGCTTTATACTATATATGTCCTCCCTCTAAGCTGCCAAGGAAGATAAAACTGTAATAGGTTTTAATAGGTTCTAGTCATGAAGGGCCGAGACAACTGAAAATTCTTTTTCCACCTACAAACAAGACTTTCTCTCCCTTCCTATTCTGTAATCTTTCCTATTTTCATTCCTCATTTCTTTTTTCCTGCTCTTTCCTCAGTTAAAAGCAAGTGGTTGCTCCCAGTGTGGTAAATGAGCACACATGTATAAAACTACTAGAAAACTGCTTAGCAGAACAGCTGCAGTTGTATGCTATGCCTATCCCCTTGATCAAAAGCTATTTTTCAGAAGAGTACTTGATACCAATTTCAAGCACATGTGTGAAAGGCCAAGGAGTCTTCACCAGGTTCTGGGTGTGTACCGTTACAGAATTACCCCTAATAAAATATGGGAGAAATGTACATTGGAACTGTCACCATTACCTTTAGGAAGGCCTCCTTTTGCTCAAGGTGTTTGCTAATCATTGGAGTCACATGGTCTGTTTCAGAGTTGGGACCGAGTTTATCAGCACCTCCACACCAGTCTTCTTCTCGCTTATATTCTTGTTCCAAACTTTCCAGCACACTGCACACCTATCAGCCAACAGGTTGAGGAATGATGAGGGATAAATGGTCATTTCTGGGCAACTAACAGTTGCAACTTGATTTGACAGCTTCTTTAAAAATCATAGTCACAAGCATTTGATCAGCCCTAGGTATTTGGTATGGGCAACTTATCCAACTCATAATATGTATAAAGAAGTTAAATGAAAACTCTGCATGCTTACATGACTTTGGCTATTTAAGTAAGTTCACATCTCTGGCTGACCTTAATTGTTTCTGACCCACCTATAAAGATGAGGATGATGATTGACTTCAGCCATCTGTTAGCCACAAAGGCTGCCCACAAAAGCAGTCCTGCATCTCTTCTTCCTCCACATCCTCTCCCACACTATTTAGTGGAGCTCCTCCAGATGGGAGAGAATCTGGGGGTCTCCAAATGCCTTAGAGAATGACACTCATTATCTGCTGAAGCTAAGGAGATTTGTAGTCCAAAATGTTTTGTTATTATCGTAGAAGGACCTAACTAGGGAAAGGCGAGTCCAATACTACAAAAGAAATTATATAAAGCCACTATAGTTGAGATTTTCTATTCTACTTCACAGTCACTTCTGGGGATAGAGGAAAATTATTCCTCAGCAAATTCCATGTCTGCAAAATGTATGATCTAATATATTACATGGAGAGGTAAGAGGAGAGAAGAAAAAGAGATGCTGGTTTTGAAGATAGCCACACAACTCCTGAAACCTCCATTCTGATTCAAACTGATTTGGGGTTAAATACCTACATAATGTTTAAAGGAAGAAAAAGGGTACATACTAGAAAGCTACTAAACCTTGAAATCTTTTTTTTTTTTTCATATGAAAAATAGAGAGATCATGCTCATTTCAGAGGAAAAGACAATGAAGGAGTTCTAAAACTATGGAGGGAAAGAAATCTGTCAATTTCTTATGAATATGGCAATAACAAGTAAATTGAAGATTCCCTTGAGTCAGGTTCAGTTCCTGGTGAACAAATACAATACTTAAACTTAAAATACATCAATGACATTCCCTTAACAGCTATATAGAAGTGATTTGTACCTGCCTATTTTCTCTATATATTTTATCTGTCAAACCATCCTTCCTCTTCTCATTCTTGTCTAAGGTATAATATTTCCTAGTGGTCTATCAAGTACTAACAAGAATTAACTCTGGTTAGCAAGACTATTATATGCACAATACTGGAGAAATTCTGAAAAACCCACAACAGAGGAATGGATCATGAAGATAGAAGAATTTGCAGAAATGGCAAAATTGACCCGTTTGATCAGGGATAAAACAATAAGTACTTTTATAAAAGACTGGAAATCTTTTATGGACTTTTTGCTGAAAATGGAAAAAAATGAAATGGCGATATCTAGATTTGCTGACTAAAAAGGGTTGAATATGGGATAGATGGGAACTATGTAATGTAATCTTACTCTCTCTCCTTCCTCTCTGTAACTTACAAGATCAGAAGCTGCTTCTTTAATTATCATTTTCTTTTTTTCTTTATTTGCATTGTCTCTCACGCTTTTTCTTTTATCTTTTTTCTA